GAGCGCCACCGCCTGGTGAAAGGACGCCATCATTTCTTTTGTAACTTCACTTCCTTAAATCAGCACATGTCACCGTTTGACAGCCTGCAGCATTCCACCCACTGGTGAACTCGTGTTATTAACTAATTAGGCACTGTTCTTAGGTTTCCTTTCTCTGCTCCAATATATGCAGTGCAGGTGGAGCAATTTCCTTTGCCTCCTGCCGTGTGATGTCTCCCAACGTCACAACAGAAAAGCCTCACGTGCTGGGTTGAGGAGCTGAGGATCGTTCATGACTGATGATTGATTTATTGGTACAGTTCTGTTTATTTGCATGACTAGGCTGACGTGAAGGCAGATCTTACGTCCTTTACGTGTCAGTTTGGCATATTAAAACTCTGTGATGGGAGCCATTACTACAGGAAGATTGTAAATTCCCAGTCTGTCAGTATGAAGAAAAAGGAAAGAGGATCCTTATCCACAGGGCATCAGCTGTCTGGAGACACCAGTTATGGGGAGCATTAGAAGCTGAGATCTGCTGCACTTCTAACCTAATCATCAGAGCCGCTTAGGTAATTGTCTTACTGCTAATTTAATGACAGTGAAGTTGACATTGCCCTTATTTTATGCTCATCAAAACACCACCAAGTGTTTATTTATATATTTTTTGTTCTTTGAGTTTTATGCCATTGATGTTTTTCCCTCTGGTGCGAAGTAACAATTACATGATTTGTGTTTATATATGTGATGAGTCAAAATTCACAGGGAGAGGCAGAACTTCATTGGTTGAAAAACAGACAAAATTTTAGGTATGCAATCTTTTTAGGACTGATGTTGATAAAAATCATAGAAAACTAAGTATGGATTGAAAAAAGTAGTTCCAAGTTTAGCTTATATTATTCAGTTAGATAATTTGAGAGATAAAGGGGTTGGTACTTGTGGAACAGAAAGGAAGTGTTGGCAATAAGAAAGGTGATGATATAATTAACCCCTAGGAGACAGAGACACGTAATTATTGGTTGTGGAAGTATGGAAATCATAATTTGCCATAAACCCAATCTCTCTACTGAGTCTATAACATTTAATATCCAGTAATTATGAGTGCTAACTTCTTAAGCTCAGGATCAAGATTTAAGAGATAACAGATAAAGTGGTTATTTTGTAAAAAATCATCTTATTTATTAATTTTTTGTAGAACACACTAATGAACAAGTTTGATGTTTTCCCTTATGATTTATACAAAAGCATTTTAAATTGTGTCATAGACCAAAGCTAATACACATTACTCCATCTTTTCGTTTTGATGAAAGGTATTCATGACGGATTCCCGTTGGCAAGTTTTGCATTCCAGCTCTGGCAGAGCCTGGCTCATGGTGATCTACCCGAGGCTCCCTGCTGCTGAACGTAGTAAAGTTATGGGATTATTTGAAAGCCAGGAGCTCTGCTTGGGCAGCATGCATCAAACAAGGAAGAATACATTCTTTTGGAAGCATAATTCAGGTAGTGGATGGTAGAAAAATATAAACACGTTTGCTCTGATAGACATCCTTTGGCCTAGATAACTGCAGAACACCAGAGCTCTCAGTATAAACCACACAAGAAAAGCACCCAAGTATTATTGTTCCCATTTTAAGAGGAATTGGGAAATTTAATAAATCACTTTAAGGTCATCTAAGACCCTAAAAGAACTAGGGATAGAGAGGTTCCTGGTCTTCCTCTTTCAGCAAAAGAACATCCATTCTCCAGCTGTACACCATGAAAGAAAGGCTGAATTCTGTTTCAGATGGTTTCTCTAGGAAGTTGTCATTTGTCCACACTCATGTGTAACCTTATAAACACTGCTAATACACAGATGAGGGCAAAGCTTGAGGAAGAGATCAGATTTGCCAGTTTTTACTATTCCCCACATTCCTTAGGGGATTACAGAAATTAATATTTCATATTTCATTGATCAAAAGGAAAGAATACAAACATTCTAAGGGAAAATTTGTATAAAAATGCATTACAATGCTCTGGACTAACCTGTATAGGGAGATCAGCAAGTCTTATATTACATGGCAATGAATGAAGGGCCTATTACTCTCTAGTAAAGTTGGAAAAAATAGGGTGGAAGAAACAGCATCCAACTGAAACATTTTCATGCATTTCTATCTCCATTTGCCTGCACTCATTCTAGTTTGAGACAAACTTCCTCAAAAAAAAAGTGCACAGGGAGGTCAAAGATCCAAACCGACACTGGGAGCCTGTAAAAGGCTGGGATCAAGCTCCCAGCTCTCTGAGCTCTGAATGTTGTCACAATAAATACTGCATGATACTGTGAATAATGGATAAGTACTGACAGTTCTTAAAGCATTTACACTAGGTTTACTGGAGCCTTTTGTTTATCAACCACTGCCAAGTTTGGACTCCTGTGGAACAATCAAACCTTCTCTTTCCTCTTAGTCACTTCGCAGTTTAACTCCTATCTTACACAGTGGAGTCTCTCTTGGCAGGGCTTTTATCTGCAACTCATGTAGGAAAAATTAGCTCCCAGGATTTCAAAAAAAGCCACCAATTACTTTGACATCCCTTCAGACGATAAAAGAATGCCCTGTATTTTTATACATCAGAAAGGTTTCTGTATAACCTGCAGTGTATTTCTGCCGTTTAGAAGGGCTGCGCTTTTGAAAGGAACTTCCAAAGGAATATGAATTTTGCCTTTGCCATCTTATATGGATTAAACATTCCCCTGCTTCCTCTTAGACCAACTTATAGATACTTAGTTTTCATTCCAGTTTTGTACTTAGCTTCTAATCACTATTTTAAAATTGTGGAAAAAGTTTTAGATCAAAACTCTGCTGCACTATTCTGTTTTCCTAAAGTAGAGGTCTGTACAACTCAACCTTACCCTTAGATGTCACATCAACTTTGAATGCACGTTTGTGGATTCATTAAATATTAAGTCTAATGGAATCAGCTGCTTTAGTTTACTGGCTTGCAAAGTGAAAGTTTTAGTTTTATTCATGTGATGCTATTAAGATCAAGTAGGCACACTGCTGTAAAGACAGACACGCATGGATACATTATATGTCAAACTATTACTGATCATACAATTTTCACAAGTGGCTACTGTTCTGAAATCACCACAATTGCTAGGCACAAGATGTAGAGTTCCTTAATTACTTGTGACATAGGCAGTGTTTACTAGATGAAAAATACAGCCTAAACAATCCACTCTAGAACCCTGATAAGCTATCATTGCATGAGTTTTGCATACTAAGAAAGCATATAAATCAGAAGACAAGGACCATATCTTCTGCCTCAAAGGCAGAACTATTCGATTACATAGTAAAACAAATAAGGAAAACAAAGGATTAACAAATTTTGTAAAGAAGTAAAAATCAATGCCAAGAGGTAGCTGATACAGCTTCTCCTTTTTTGGTATCATCTTTGCAACTGTAATCAGGAAAAATATTAGGAGGTTAGGGAGACACTGCTTTTCAGTATCTTGGAAGCCACAGAAAAATGTTTCAGGGCAAGCTGCGGTCCAGGTTATGAGAACGGTCAGGTGCCTACTACGAAATTACCATATTAAGGCTGTTGTTACTAAATTTGATTGTCAAATGAATCTTGGGAAGTATGTATTTTAGCTAATAAATTTTGTTTCCCAAAATATTATAGATAACATCCTGAAGTTACATAAAGCAGACAACAGAATAAAAACCCCTCACAGGTATACAGATGTTAAACATTTTTATCCCTGCAATTATTTATGGCCTTGCATATGTGATCACAAGTGGTATTTTTCAGGTTTCCAAAACTGGGTATTCTGTACTTCACTGATTGACGACAAACTACACTGAAATATTTTGTATGAATTTATTTCATTATTCCAGCTCAGTCCTCAATGGATTTTATATATTTCTCATAGGCATCTTCATTCATCAGTTCATAAAAAGGTTTTCCACAGTCATCTTGATAAGCCAACCTGTAGTTAGGAAATGAAAAAGAACAGTTGCTAATACCTTCATGGTACTACCTTAGAAAAGCACTCCCAGTAGGCATACAAGCCCCGTAACATTGGCAGAATCAACAGGATTTCTTGTGCAGGCAAAACAATGCTTCAATACTTTAAAAAGTGAACAACCAACCAACTTGTTGTAAGAAACAGCCTTTTGAGTCAGACCAGTTGTCTAATTTAGTACTATCTCTGACAGTGGCATTAAGGAGACACTGTCTAGAAAGAGTAAAAGAGCCTGACCTCTCAGTATCACGAGCTGTTAACAAGATCAAAAAAAGAGCAATGCGATCAAGCGAAACAGATTTAAATTCAACCACAGTCTGTCTGAAAAGCACACACTGTAAAACAGCTGTCAAAGACAAGACTACAATAATACTTTCATGTTAAATTTTATTGGGCTTGAACTATGTTCAATATATTCCATTTAAGCCTCCACACCATTAATCTGGAAGAACTAGGAATTGCAGAGCCATTTCTGATAGCAAGAATCCAGGTGGTATTCATTATTGAAAGATAAAAATGACATCTTACCATCTTGGTAACAAGATTTATTGACGAGTCCTGGATTATCTGCAAGGGCAGCATTAATCTCAGTCACTTCTCCTGAGAGAGGAGAGTAGAGTTCACTAGCAGCTTTCACACTTTCCAAAGCTCCAAACTCATCTGAAACACAGAATGTGATGGAACGCTTTTAAGAGGAAAATACAAAGCGCTTCAGTTTTTTCAGTCACACATTCTGGTGATGACCCAGCCATGGAAGAAGTGTCTTGATCTTGAGCAAGGAAAACTGTCAAAGAGATGGAAGTCACCAACTTTATGACAATGATCAACAGAATTAAATTTGATGTTCACGCTCCGGAATTATTCTGGAGAACTTGCATAACACTAGCCAGCTGGCTACTACAGAAGGGACGGAAATGTCTTACATTTGGCTAATCCTTTGGCTAAAGCCCTACAGCATATATGATATGATACCAGGTTATAAGGAACCACATCCAGCTCTTGCTGCAAGAGACCTAAATATGCCTTTTATCTACAATTTAAACCTTTTTATACATAATTTGGTTACAAAACAGACACAGCCACAATTTCAGGAATCCCAGTTTTTCTTCAGAAACACTATGAAGTGTTACATTTGCACTCAATGGAAAACACACATTAGTATTCGGAAGCACCACGCTGGAATCACCCAGCCGCTCTTCTCTTTTTCCTGTTTTGTAGGCAGTTATGGAAATGGTGCCTGGAGCAATGTTAGTCCAGAGTAACCTAAGCCACAAGCAAACAAGACAGGGGCTGGAGGAACACTGAGCTGTCAGAAGAGTACACAGGCATCAGCACAAGGAATCAGAGAACTGCATGCGCTGGGAAAGCTTGGGATTAGACTAAGGCCAGAACAGGTAGAAAAGAGAAGAGCTAAACGGAAATGAAATTCCTTCAGATAAAACAAAACTACAAGTTGGTTAATTAAAACACTAAACAGAAAGACCTTTTGTCTAACATTCACCATTCAATGCGATGTAATAGATTTGACCAAAACAGTTCAATACAGACCTATTCTACAAGAACGATGGCAAAAGAAAGGCCTGCTACTTTACCTCAGTAATCTACGTTCTTTTTCTGCAACATCTGAACCTAATGACAATCTTTTCCTCATATACTAGCACGACAGCTCTCCACGTAAATACAGGAATAGGCTTTTCTACTTGTTAATGCTCACTCTTCTTTAACATGGAAAATTACATAACTGAATGATTAAGAATGTAACAATTTGTACATCACTAATGAGCAAAAATCTGTGATTACAGTTGATACTCCCAAATTACTGAGTCTGTATATTCACAGAAAAATCAGAGCTTGATACCAATTAGATGTTTCACATCACGCAACTCATGAAATGCCTAACTGCAGAATTACAAATAAGCCAGCCTAAACGCTAGCAAGTCGAAATAAAAGCATAAATATTTTAAAAACAGAGCATAGATAAAATTATTTTTAAAAGATATTTCAAATATTTGATTTTTAAATAAATGTCTTCACAGTTTACTAAGCAGGTATTTTCTGCTACCATGCAGGGTCTGACAGTGAGAATTTGAAATTAAAGCTGGGTCTTGTAGAAATACTTGCATTTATTTTGCATCCAGAAGATCTACAATAGTATTAATGAACATAAAGATTACTTCATAAAATTCATCGTTGCAAAAGGAGAGTGCGATAAGTGGAATAATTACTTCATTAGCAATTAGTGCTGAAACTTACCATGTTTACTCAATTTTGTCCCAACTTCTGGAAGACTACAGTAAACAACATCTCCTAAGGCTTCCTTAAAAGCAAAACAAAAAGCATCAAAGCGTACATTAAAGAAACTATACATAGGAGAGATCTGATACAGTAACTCTAGAATCTGTACACAAGTAATCTCTGTCTCTAAATTTAGTTCTCGTTCTTTAAGGACCACATATTTTTCAATTTTTAAACATTTAACTTGAAATAACTGTTTTGTTATCATGCCCCAAATGCCAAATTATTGTTTATCTATTACAGTGTTAATAACCCTCAGGCTGAGTTACAAGGTTTATATACAAGTTTCTTCAGGCAGAATGAGAAATAACATCTGCTGATCTCCTTAGCATCAGTGAAGTAACAATTGTTTTAAAGGACAAAGTTCCCAATGATTTGAGGGAATTATCTTTTTGCTTCAAAGCACCGAGGATGCACTTCCAGTGCAATCTGAAAGAACAGAAATGATCCCTCCCCAGAGACATGGACAACTGGAGAGCTGTTAGCGTACAGTTTGTCCTTACTGACTTAATAAGGAGCCTTATCACCATAAGAATCTGCTCAACCAGAATAGGAGGCTTCTGCCTCTTCACTGACAAACGGACCCAGCTCACAAAAGACTAGGGGTCTTACAGAGTATTAGTGTTATTTACAGAAAACAGATTATGGCAAATGCTGCTTGTCCTAAGAAACATTAATTCCACTTCATCAATAGCTTCTCACATTAGATTTTCTTAAGTTTCACATACAGTGAATCTCTATCCTGAATTTGCCTGTGACTATTCCAAATCAAGTACTTGCACGAGAACAAAACAAAACAAAAAATCCAAAAGAATTCCTATCCTAGAGTAAGAAATATATGCCATGTTGTACTTCCATTCACAATTGTTCTTTAGCCAGAGGGATTGCACCGTATTCACGTCCAAGGGAAGTCTGACCTAAAAAGTGCATGAGATCCTCTTTACAAAGCCACAAACTCCTCAGGTCTATAAGAACTGAAGTAATAAAGGAGGTTTTAAATTCTGCT